ACTACTACTACCACCACCATCACCATCACCACCACCACCACTACTACGACTACTACTGCTATTCGTAGCCGGCGGTTGCGCCAGCGGTTTGTTAGTTGCAGGGGTACAGTCTTCGCGGAGACCGCAGGTGCTTGGTTTGCTTTTGGTGCTGCTGCTGCTGCTGCTGCTGCTGCAACTGCCGGTGTTGTTTTTGCTGTTGCTGTCGCTGTTGAAGTTGCTGTTGCCGTTGGTGGCGGTGGCGGTGGCGGTGGCGGTGGCGGTGGTGGTGGTTGTGGTGGTGGTGGCGGCGATGGCGCTGGCGCTGGCGCTGGCGCTGGCGCTGGTGCTGGCGCTGGCGCTGGCGCTGGCGGCGACGGCGGCGGCGGTGTGGTCGTCGCTGCTTCTGCTGCTGCTGCTGCGGCTGTTTGTTTGTGTGTTGCCCTTCTCGTCGTCATCATCGTCGCGTCGTCGTGGTCGTTGTGGCCGTCGTCATATTCCCCCTTGCACTTAATTCATACGATGCTGGCTGCTTCTACGGCACATTACGTTCTACGGCTACTTCTTCTCCTTATCGCTGCTGCTAGTGCTGCTCCGACTCCTACCCCTTGCCTACTCGTACTCCTACTCCGAAACAACCGGCACAGCTCGCTATTCGCGAAGTCTGTACTGGCCATAGTCATGAACTCTTTGTTCGCACCGGAATCGTAACCCTCACCCGGTCCCCAAGTTCCTGAATCAGAGAAAAGGATTACTACGACAACTTCCTGAGCCATGATTGGAAGACCTCCGGATTGTTGAGCCTGGGCTAAGCTGTGGGTGTTTAGGGGAATACAGAGCTCTCGTTGGTGAGTGGTTGGGTCGTCAGTTTGAGGAGACTGGCTAGGTGGACCTGCGAGAAGAGTGCAGACATTGACTTGACTGCGCTGAGCAAATCGTGCTTGCAAGGAAATACTTGTCCCTTCTCATCCTCTTCAATGCGAAAGCCGCTGCGATTGCTTCGGTCCTGATATCTGTCTTGGTGGGCACGCTTCGCATGATGACTGTCCTCCCCAACCTGGTGTGGACGGAGCTTCCATGCTTTGCATTCTTCTACGTCGTGCTGGCCACCTCGTAGCAAGAGTGCAGGGCTGGAAGACTCACGAGTCCTGTCGCTGCGTTCGGAGTTTAGATTTAGGTTTGCGAGCCCCTGGCGAAAGGGGTGTGTCCTCTGAGGTGTTCTGGCAGAATCTGTTGGCATGGCTTCGTTTGCCGCGCATGGTCTTTCTGGACAAGCTTTGCATTCCTCAAGATGACGAGGAGACTTCACGGAGGTGTCGAGGTTCAAGGTTGCTCACATCTCCGGGAGCTATCTGCCAATCAACCAGTCAGTCAGTCAGTCAGTCAGTCAGTCAGTCAGTCAGTCAGTCAGTCAATCATTCACTCAGAATAACCTATCGTCCAATATTTATATTTATATTTAATTTTATATTTATTTACGCACGTATGCATACACAGACCTGTATATTATATAGACATGTGTAGCAAAAAGTATGTTATATGTATGGATAGATAGACTGAGTTTTACATGTATAAATAGGGGTACATGCATATGTACATACATCACATACATACATGAATGCATACATCACAGACACACCCATACATATCATAGTGCACTCTAAGTAAATGCACGTCCTGTCATATAGGTTTCCATGGCGACATCTGTGTTTGCTGCTCACACCAGCATCGGTAGAGTTGTTCATCCTCGCACACTAAAGCCATTGTTTCATCGAGGAACCGACTCCTCATTCCTGGTACATACATGGTTTCTACCAGCCCCGGCACTCCAAAACCCACCGTGAAGGCCTTTCCGATTGCAGACCAGTTGCCCTGTCTTTCGCGACTCGTCCGAAGGCGGTCACAACTACATCATGCAGCATCCAAACTGTACTGCCAACATCCCGACACATATCCTAATGATTGACGCAAAGCCACAGCTGTGTTTGAATCCTAATAATGATTGACGAAATGCCACAGCTGTGGATGTTGCGTTGTCGCTTTGTACTGATATTCGTAGTCGATTTTGGTAAAATTCCAAACCTGTCACGTGCCTTTGCAACCAGCTCCTTTGTGGGCTTCCTTGTTAGCTTCTCACGACCAAGACTGACCGAAGCAAGCTGAGTAGGCATTCGTGTTGCAGGAGAAAAAGGCTCAATGCATTCGTGGCCTTGCTTGCTATCTCGATTGTGCGCGGACCCTGACGGTGTTGTGGTCGGATCGCTATTTCAGCAGGCTGTGGCGTCTGAGCTTCCCAAATTACAGCTTTTGTGCCATGTGGGCTTCCTTTGGTTTTTGGGCTTGGAGCCAAGGGTCGTCGGATTTTCGCATGCGACACCGAGCCAGCGAAGATAGGGTCGCCTCCATATACATAAAAGTGCATCGCCAGACCCGGACGTCTTGAGCTATGTCCGGGGCCATGTGGGAACATCTGACTAGTAGATTTCAGGGTTGGGAACTTTATAGCCCCTTTTCCGAGAGAGGCTGACCTTGCAGAGACATCAGAGAGCCCTCAGCACGAACTCGCGTTTTGAGAACATGGCCCTTCCAGCAGATGAGGTGCGTTTTCGAAATGGCGTCGTTTCTTCGACACCGGAGCAAGCCGTCCATCCAGTTTCTTCCTGTGGAGCTGTCTCTGCTCGTCTTTCTGGGCGGGGTCTCTTACTCCGTCATGCATTTGATCCATGGCCTCCACAATGAGTTGGTGAATGTCCAAAACCAGGACGATGAAGGACCTACTGAGGGGCTGCGGCAGCTCGCCGGACTGTCGGGCCTGCTGATGACGGTCTTCTACATCACTGTTGCCTGCTTCAACTATCTTGGCCTGCAGCTCATGAACAAGTTTCGTCTCCTCCCGAAGCAACTTCACCGGTTCGATGCTCGAAAGGCCGAGTGCTTTTGCTGCTCCGTGCCCAGATCCGCCTTTAAAGTTCGGGTTCAATTTGTCACAAATTTCCCACGACGTTCGGACGTGGAGGCTGTTTCCTGGCATTGAGAAGTGTATAGTACGTAGATGTACAGAGGCTTCTGAGGAAGATTTGTCGCGAAAGGACTTCCACTTTCTTTCGCTTCTTGGTGTTCGAAGCTGTGTGTGCACTGCTAGCACCACGAACACATCACCTGTGAAGGCTTTAGCTCGTCTTCTGCCGTAGTGAACCTGGCAATTTGGAGTATGCTGGTCAGCGTTGCCGGACGGGGTTTCGACTCAATACACAGAGTGTCATTACGTCTGATCTCCGATCGGCCTGGTTCGTACTTCATGAGGTCTGTCCTCGTACTAGTGTCGTGATCGCAAGTTGTATTTAAACTTGCTGCCATCATACTGATGATTACTTCCTGCCTGCGACAGATACCTGTCCTTACAAGAGTGTAGCCGTACCCAGCCTGCCAACTGGTCTTACTCAAATGCTGCACCTGGAAGGGGGTATCCGAGTACCAGACTGTAGTTTTCCCTGACCTGATCTTTCAAGGAACCAGTATGACATGAAAGGATAGGGTTTTTTCTCCTTGGCTACTTCAATTCAATTCCCAGTATAAGCTTGCTTCATCCGACACCGCTCAGGTAGGACACGTGGACCCTTGCACTGGGGCTCCGATCCCTTGCGACCGAAAGCTGATCATGACAAAGATTGAGCGGTGGTATGATGTTTCCAGAAACGCAGATGCAACGGACGTGGGTCCCGACAGCTGTATAACAGAATTCAACAACCTGGTGCGCAAGGAGCTTGCTGACACGTTCCTTGCCATGACGGCTTCTGCCAACCCGGTTTTCTGGAAGTATATCTACTTCATAGTTGGTATGCGACTTGGATAAGCATCAGCACACCACCCTTTGATCTGTCCTGAGCCATCTTCCTGCTTGCACGCTAGGGGTGGCAGAATCATAGCCCCAGGCTAGGGTCCCACATTCGGCTCTGGGACAATCCGAAGATTCCGGTGCAATATCTCGTGAACCTTGCCTAAGATGCTACACGCCCTACTTCCAAAAACTAATAGCAAGGAACACGCCTATTGCAGCGCGGGCATTGGGCAACATGTCCGCCGAATTGCTGCCCAGTTCGCTCGAAGGCTCCCCGGTGGCATAAAGGGCTTTGCAAGTTTACGGACTGCGTGATGTGATCATCTTCTGCACTAGAATCTGCTACAAATGCATCGCAGTCTTTAGGAAGGTTTGTGCATTGGGAGGAAGGGTGACTGTTGTACACATCTTACTCGTTTCCCGGCCCCTTGCTTGGCAGCAGGGGCATTGCTGCTACTGCGAAAGTAAAACACAAACCAACGACAAAGCATGAGTGTTTTAGCCTGAACAGCCCCGCTTAGATAGTTCCCGTTGTGATGCCAATTCTAAGCCTGCCTGCCTCGTTCTTTGAAGGGCTTCCGCCGTTTGTCGTTCTGGCCCCTAAACCGAGTCTAAACCCAAAACATCTAAACCCTAAGCCCGGCTCCTTGATGCTTGGATCAGGAAATGCACTCCTGGCCTGGAGAGTTAGCTGCTGGGTTCCAGCGCATGTTGTTGGTTGGGTATGGTGAAGGCATATCCATATTATATCTATCTCTAACTATCTAACTATCTATCTATCTATCTACCTATCTATCTATCTATTTATCTATCTATCTATATATATAAATATATACAGATACATCTACACATACTTATATACATACGTACATAGGTGCACACATACATACATACATACATACATACATGCATACATACATACATACATGCATGCAAATAAGCAAGCAAGGAAGGAATATAAGTAAGCAAGCAAGTAAGGAAGCAAGCAAGTAAGTAAGTAAGTAAGTAAGTAAATATGTTTGTATGTCTGTATGTATGTATGCATGTATGTAATTTAATGTTATCTAACGTAATCTAATGTGATGTAAGGTAAGGTAATGTAATGTAATGTATGCACACCACCACACAGAAACGCGCACATTCTGTGCACAGACGCACAAACACACACACACAGCTATATATATATATATATATTTATTTACACACACACACATTTTCCTATATGTGCATATGTGCAAAAGTTTTGCGATATGCATTGTATAAGTTTTTTTGTTTTCAAGTTTTGGTTCCTTTTATACGGACGGTTATGGAGTAAGTCTGTACCCTGGTTGCCCCTTGGCTGCTTCAGAAACCAGGATGGGTAGGCAGACTGTTCCACAACATGCTGCAGGTCGTGGGGAGCCTGGAGATTCTCATGAGCCCGGGCCGGAACAAATCAATTGGGAGTTGTTCTAATTGGAGCTTCGGAGTTTAGGCGTTAGTCACCCCTTTATTTGGGTGCCTCCATCGCTACTGCCTACTCGTTGAAAACTACACTAGGGTTCCTTATGCCATGAATATACATTGCTGGGTGACCGGCTGTGCCGCCACCAGCCATTTGCACCTAAGCCGTAAACCGTTCCGTGTGCAGATAGTAGTTGTGCTTGCCAAGGATAGCATGGGGTGTTGGTGCGGTTTGGCTTCGGGATCGAAATCTTGCCGTGGCCTCTCTGATGCTCTCCGCACCGATTACTATCCTCGCCTTTGCCATATTATTCGTGCCATTTCGGCTTTTCTGGCTTTTGACGGCCGATGACAGCTTGCTGATATTGGCACCAGCATCTTGGCAAGAACACGGGCTGGAGATGAGGTAGCCAAGGCGAGAAGTGGGCTCATCCCCTACTCCTCTCAACCTTGGTTCGTCCTGCATGCTTCCAAGAATCGAACTGGTCAGAATTCTACTGTTCCGCTGCACCTCGCATTGAACCTTGAACACCAAACCGGTGCTAAAGGGCAAGCTCTGAGGTATGTCGCCGTAGTCGCTTCAGCCAGAATCTGCAGTACGCTGCACGAGTACACATGCGTCTAAACCGAAGCCATTGATGTGGATGGTTCCTCACATTAGACATTGCGGCAGGCTCTGGATAAGTAGCTGTACATATCCGTTTGCGTGGATGCTGCCTCCCTTACTGACTATAGGTACTGCTGGAGTTGTTCTTCGTCGTGGCTTGCAGCCGTGCCCGTGGATTCGTGGTTAGTTCATGGCAGCTTTTCTTATGGCTCGTAGCTGGAGCAGCACATGTAACTACAGCATTTAGCTCTGGTTTCTATGTGCGAGGTCTGCTCTCTTAGAAGTGGCTAAATCCTAAACCCTAAACCCTAAATCTAATTCCTAAACCCTAGACTGCCCTAAACCCCTTAAGAAGGGGCTTGGCATTGAGCCTAAGCCCCTTGAATGCAGACCCTGGCCTCCTCTCCATACGCTCACCCCCGTTTAGCTCCAGGCTTTAGGTTTAGGGTTTAGGGTTTTTTGCCATTTGCGCTTTGCCACTTTCTTTGGTACGCCTTGCGTTGCGGGCACGCCTACCATGTGGGCTAGCCCAAGTGGCCGTAGGTATTTTGCTATCTTCCGCTCCAGGCTACTCTTGGGGAAGCGCCTTCAGCCGGTGTTTCTTGTTCCGATAGGAACCCCCCAACCAGGACTACTACGCCCCATCTTGAAAGGAGGGGTACACATGATCACCTGATTGTGCTGGTACTCTTATACACAGTCCTCCACCGTTCCTTCCGTGTCACTGAAGCCTCTTTATTCTGACCTTACGTTTAGGAGCCCAGGAGTCCTTCTTGTTCGTTTGTGGTTCTGAGGTGGTTGTAAACGCCAGTTTAGAGAACAACGGACTCGGATGTAGATGCCGGCCACGAGCATACTACCCTCATTTGAACAGATAGCACGTTGTGCACGAGAACAGGACTCCTCAGCACATCGATATCTCAGACGGCTGCGGAAAGTATGCATCAGCTCAGCATCCGCAGTGGCGACAGTGTCCACTCTGAGAACTTGAAGCAGGACATCCTGATGATGGCTGTCCCAAGTTGTGGCGTTTCTTTGGACAAGAGCCTGGTATAGTCAGGAACCTATCTGAGCCATGATTAAATACAAGGCCTGAATTGCACATTAGGTAAAACCTTCTTTGCTTACCGACGATCACCCTTTAGCTTCCGCATGCTGCTGACTGTTTGCATGTTGTGGAAGTGTCATGCCCCTAGTTACTAGTAATTTACACAGGGTGTGTGAACTTGCTGGAAAACATCTCTAGAGCATCACGAGTCATGTGGCGATGTTGAGTTCCCACATGCTAGGATCCTGAACGCAGAATCAACGATTCGTGTTGCATACCATCCCTCCACTCTGAAGCCTGTAGCTGCCATGCCCTTGTTCAGAAGAGCATTGATGACGACACAGAGTCCGTCGGCGACTTCTTCAGCATCTGAGGGGACAACAGCGGGCAGGAGGTCATGATAAGCAAAGATAGGTGGACTCAGACCCGCCTTCGTGGTTCGTTTGATGATAGCCCTGCTGCTTTCTTGCTATAGCCATGATGTCTTGATGAAAGTCGTTGTACCTGCACTCTGAAGAGTTGGAGTCGAAGTCGTAGTCATAGCCAAGCGGAAAGCTATGAGAGGGAAGGTGTCAGTCGCTAGAAGGTTTTCCACCTGCACCATTGCGCACGAAGTGTCTCGCTGAGCGAGCGCTGACTGCCGGGACATTCCTCTCACCGCCTACATTCTCCGCATTCCTTGTACGACTCCGGCGATCATGTCTCTGCGAGTGCTGTTGCTATTGCTATTTTCGCAACTGTCCTTGCACGTAGAAATCCGGAAAGGTGTAGGAGTTCGGAGTTGCCCGGTTTGCCGTTTCTTGATGTGATTTAACCCGGGAAGCCCGGAATGGGTGCCTGCACCAAGTTCATGTGCGCATAAACTCTTCAACGTTTATGGAGAAGGCTGAGCTGTTCGCCGTTGACTTCACTTTCACTCTAGCTCATGAGGTTGAAGATGATGCATGCCAATGTATTGAATCGAACTTTCCAGCTTCATCGACAGCTTTGTAGTTTTGCTCTAGACCTCACAGCAACACTTGTTGCTTTGGCAGTTCTCCCTGACCAGTAATCAATAAATGCTGTTGCGTGGGGAGAGTAGTACTAGTAGCATTAGCAGTAGTAGTATTACGGTTGATGGAGGAAATCTTGCACCACCTATTTAATAGCAAGTGAAACGACACATGGGCGTAACCCCGCACGCCCTTTTTAATCTTGACGATGATGGATACCGAGGTGGTGTAAGACTTCTACCATTGGAACCAGTCAATGTTAAAAAAGGGGTCGCGGGGGTCTCTGCTTTGCTCGGCCATTTGAAGTGGTGCAAGATTTCCTCCATCAACAGGAGCACTAGTAGTACTAGTAGTAGTAGTAGTAGTAGTAGCAGCAGCAGCAGCAGTAGTAGTAGGAGGGGAGCAGGAGTTGCAGTAGTAGTAGTAGTTGTAGTAGTAGTAGTAGTAGTAGTAGTAATAGTAGTCGTGGTGGTGGTGGTGGTGGTGGTGGTAGTAGTAGTGGCAGTACTGGTTGTCCCTGTCGCTGTTGCTGTTGTTGTTTGCGGTGGTCCTGTTGCTGTTGCTTTTGTTGTTGTCGTGGTTGCCTCTGCTGGCATTGGTGGTGTTGGTGCTTTTGGTGCTAGTGCTGGTGCTGGTGGCGTTGATGTTGCTGTTGCTGGAGATGCTGGTGTTAGTGGGGGGTGTTGTTGTTGTGGTGGTGGTGGTAAGGTGCAATTATGTGCAGTTGTTGCAACCCGCTTGGAAGTGCCCGCTATCTTTTCGCAATCGTCAGGCCAGCTCTCCCGAGGAGAGAGAACTCCCTCGCTTAGTCTCACACAGACTTTCGGCCGCTCAAGATGCTTGGTATTTAGCTGCTCCGTCAGGGCGCAAACCCGAAATCCGAGGAGTCTTCGCAGCAGTTCTATAGTATCTGTGCATGTCATATCCTCGAAGCCGTTGAATTCAGTCAGCCTTTTCAAATGCTTTGCCAACAGATTCGGGTTTCCATCCCAAAGCAGCTCACTCAACGGTACATTGTGGAGCATCCCATGGCCTGCATAGAAAACCTGCACAAGGCCTCAGTTCCTGCATGGAGTGAGAGAAGCAATTGTACAATCATTCTAGAATTCTAGAAGCAGTCGCAATTATTATTAACATAATATAATAATAATTAGTATTTTTTGTTATTATTATTCTTAGTAGTAGTAGTAGTAGTAGTAGCAGTAGTAGTAGTTGCAGTAGTAGTAGTAGTAGTAGTAGTAGTAGTAGTAATGGAGTAGTAGCAGCAGCAGTGGCAGAAGGAGAAACAACAGTAGCAGTGTGAGTAGGAGGAGTCAGCAGGAGGAGGATTACTATTATTATTAGTCGTCGTCGTCGTCGTAGTAGTTAGTAGTAGTGGTGGTGGTGGTGGTGGTGGTGGTAGAAGTTAATAATGTCGTCGTAGGAGCATCACTTGCAGTCGAAGCAGCAGCACCCCTAGCAATAGTGTTCGGGGGAGCAATCGCAGTAGCAGAACCAGCACCAGCAGTACTTTCGGCATTAAATTTCCGCGCACCTGTCGAGTCAAGTCTGACTGGCTGCTTCGAAGCGATCGCATTCGGAAAGAGGCATCCTTTTGCGAGCAATCTTGCGGACCGGCAGGTCCTGTTCTAATAATTCGCAGGTGCTCATTAATCCTGCAAGCTTATATTATCACTTGCTGGTAAACGCTGCGAGGGTCAGAGACGCAGCAGGACCCGTACCAGCACTACCAGTACGAACAACGCCATCCGCAACCACGCAAAGAGCAACGTTCACATAAGCACGACAGCTTCTGCATATGGCTGACAGGGAAGTTAATGAAGTCTGGGGCATAGATTTGGGAACATACCCCCGCAAGCCGCATGAACTGAGGGGTAAGCAGATGGGAAACCAGGCACACATTTGGATACTGATCCACCGGTTCAGTCATGGGCAATAGGTCTTGCAAGTAGGTGGATATCCCTTGTGGACGGATGCACCATGTCAGACATCAACATTCAAAATGATAGAGGTATACTTCTGTCGCTCCTTTTGCATAGCCATGTCTCCACGTGACGCTCGGAAGAACTTCGTGCAGGCCTTGGCAGCAGTCGGGGCCCCCAGCAGAGTTGCGCGGGGGTTGAAGATTACATCATTACATCTTTTTGGGCTGAGGAGCTCGGCTACAAGCTCTGGAAAGTGAGGCATGTAAGGATAATGTGTGTCCGCGGAGCTTCTATACCTTAAGCATGTCCGATATGGGTACAGGGGAGCTTACACTGGTTTACGCTTACTACACTGGCACTCTCATGCCCACAGTGGCTGTGTGAATCTGCAAGGTCAGTGCTCATCCTGACACTACTGGGAATCAGACAATCCATCCATCGACCAAATGAACAAAGTTATGTTTGCTTGTTTGGGGAGTCGGGTGGCAACTAGTGGCAACAAGAAATTTTGTCGAGGGTGCCACCTCACATGTCATCTCCGAGCACCTCCCCATCGTGGTTCTCCCTGAAACGGCGTTCCAAGTGCTGTTGGAGTTTGGATGCTAAACTTGGGACAGAACCCTTTTCCGAATCTTACGAAACTAAACCCCAAGTCCCCAAACCCATGAACCCGAGCCCGAACAAACCTTATTGCATTCAGGTAGCAGACAAGCACGGCTTCGAGTTCTCCTCGCAGTCGCACGATTGGATCCTTCAGATCCGAAACAAGGCTGGCCGGTTTCATGAGGCTTTGCTACGAGGTATTCAGGTCTGCTGTATTTGGGTCTGGTAAGCTCAGCAGAAAAAACACGCATTTGGATTTGTATGTTCGCTTCACTCTGGCCTATCGCGACTCAAAGGTAAAAAATATGTATTCAGACTATGCCTCTAAAACCTGATGTTGTACTACCGTAGCTTCATGAGGAACTCATGTGGAAGTAGCCAACCAATTCCATACGTATGTACATGCATACACACATACGTATGTACATACGTTTTCACCTTGTTTACACAGAGAATTCTTCGGCGATGGTCGTCTCAGTATACATGCAGCATACATGTTGTTCCTCGCAATCATGGTGGCACAAGGTAGCACAGTGGGACGGTGCCGGAGGTTGGCTGTTTCAGACTTGAGAGATTTGGACTTGGGGTGCTGAAAGGCTTGAGAGGTTTGAAGTTTGAGGTGTTTGAAGGTTAAGACTCGTGCGGCTCAGAGCCACGGCTCGCAGACGAACTCTTTCTGAAGGATTTCACGAACGCTAGCGGAGCAAGGCTTGCGTAAGGCATTGGTCCATTTGTGTAGAATCCAGCGAATATTTGAACTTCGTCAAAGACAATCGGGGGGAGGGGGTGGAAGGGCGGCGGGGGCTACATAGATTGATTTTTTCATAAGAAAACTGGTACTGCTCTTTGTCTTTAGGGCCGGAGGGGCGGGAGGTCAATCGGATTTTCAGAAGCGTCGCAGTTTTGGTGAAGGGGGCACGGGCAGTGGTGGAGGGAGGGAGGGAGGGAGGGTTTTTGTATCTTGGCTGTGCGACCCAGTTGTTTTCAGTGCTCCTCTCGCCTCTGCCGACCCATGTCTCGCAGCGACTCTGTCCAGCCTTAATATGTGCCGGTTGTTCTGTTGCCTTACAGGTGCAGTCATAGCTCAGTCATCTAGCCAATCATTGAAACATGGTACTAGATAGAGGTCTACGGTCCGCTTGCTACCAGATGCAGGCTGCATATTGGATTGAGGGGTGGTGTTGCAATTGCGGGTCACTGGCCGTTGGCGCGCCACCGACCTCGTTCCTCTCTCTGTCTTCTCTCTCCCTCCCTGCCTCCCTGCCTTCCTCTCCCTCTCTTTCCCTCTATCTGGCTCTCTCTCTCGTCCTCTCTCTATCCCTCTGTCTCTCTCTCTCTCTCTCTCTCCCTCTTTCGTTCTCTCTCTCTCTCTCTCTCTCTCTTTCGCTCTTTCTCTCTTCTATCTCTCTTCTATCTCTCGATCTCTCTCCCTCTCTCTCTCTCTCTCTCTCTGTCTCTCTCTCTCTCTCTCTCTCTATATATATATATATAGGCGAGCTGGCTATCTGTCGATGTAACTTTCT